CGTATCCTTCTGTTCCCTAAGGACTGGGAACAGCAGGGGGCCGGGAATGGGCCGGGAATTCCTTCCCAACATCCCCCCAGACCCTCCCCCCTCCCACTGGGAGCCATTCCCTCTTTTCCTGCCGCTCCTGGGAGTCCCCCCAGGGATGGGAATGTGCTCCTGGAACCCGGGGGCTCTTCCCAATCCTGACCCTGACCCGTTGGGATGGGATTCCCTGGGATGGGATGGGATGGGATTTCCCAGGATAGGATCCCCCGGGATGGGATTTACTGGGATGGAGATGGGATTCCCCAGGATGGGCTGGGATTCCCAAGGTTGGGGTTCCCAGGAATGGGATAGAATTCCAGGGCTGGGCTGGGATTGCCTGGGATGGGATTCCAGGGCTGGGCTGGAACTCCCCAGGATGGGATTCCCTGGGATGGGATGGGATTCCTTGGGATGGGATGGGATTCCCAAGGCTGGGATGGGACTCTCTGGGATGGGCTGGGATTTTCCAGGCTGGGCTGGGATTCCAGGGATTGGACTGCCAGGGATAGGATTCTCCAGGGATGGGATTCCTTGGGATGGGATTTCCTAGGATTGTATTCCCTGGGCTGGGATTCCAGGGCTGGGCTGGGCTGGGCTGGGATTCCCCAGGATGGGCTGGGATTCCTTAGGATGGACTGGGATTCCTTAGGATGGGCTGGGATCCCTTGGAATGGGCTGGGATTCCAGGAATGGGCTGGGATCCCTTGGAATGGGCTGGGATTCCTTAGGATGGGCTGGGATCCCTTGGAACGGGCTGGGATCCCTTGGGATGGGCTGGGATCCCTTGGAATGGGCTGGGATCCCTTGGAATGGGCTGTGATCCCCTGGAACAGGCTGGAATTCCCAGTTCTCACCTCCTCGTTGAGGCTCAGGGCCTGGAACAGGGAGTCGATGTCCTCGAACTCGGCGTAGCCGAAGCCTTTCAAGCGCTCGGGGTTGGTCGGTTCCCGGGGCAGCCGCACCGCGCTGATCTGGGAACGGGAACCACGGGAATGGGAATGCTGGGACACGGCTGGGAATGCCGGGACACAGCTGGGAATGCTCCCCAGGGAATGGGAATGCTCCCCAGGGAATGGGAATGCTCCCCAGGGAATGGGAATGCCAGGACACGGAATGGGAATGACACTCCAGGGGCTGGGAATGCTCCCTGCAGGGCTGGGAATGGTGAACCCAGAGCTGGGAATTCTGCTCCAGAGGCTGGGAATGCTGAGCCAGGGAGCAGGGAATGACACTCCAGGGGCTGGGAATGCTCCCCAGGGGCTGGGAATGCTGAGACACAGCTGGGAATGCCAATCCAGGGGCTGGGAATGCCACTCCAGGGAGCAGGGAATGCTGAGACACAGCTGGGAATGCTGAGCCCAGAGCTGGAAATTCCACTCCAGGGGCTGGAAATGCCGCCTCAGAGAGCAGGGAATGCCGCCCCAGGGACTGGGAATGCCACTCCAGGGAGCAGGGAATGCCAATCCAGGGGACTGGGAATGCCACTCCAGGGAGCAGGGAATGCTGAGCCCAGAGCCAGGAATGCCAGTCTGGGAGGTGGGAATTCAACTCCGGGAGTTGGGAATGCTGAGCCTACAGCTGGGAATTCTGCTCCAGGAGCCGGGAACAGTGCTGGGATTCACTTGGAACGTGATTCGCCGGGATGGGAATCCGTGATTCCCTCGGGATCAGCCCCCAGCCCCCCCAGATCCGTGACGGCGGATCCAGGACCAAATCCCGCTTTCGTTCCCGGCCCCCGGAGCGCGACTCACGTTGAGGCCCCGGAAGAAATCCTTGATGGACTCCTCGGTGACGTCATAGGGGAGGTTCCCCAGGAAGGCCGTGTACGGGGGGGACTTGGGCAGGCGGCTCCTGTCGATGTTGGGCTCGCGGGCGGCGCGCGGCGCCGTGGGCAGCAGCGAGCGGTCGATCGGCGGCGCCCGGTACACGTCGTCGTCGTTGCTGTGCCACGTGGTGGAGGCTGCGGGGGATGGAGGGACACGGCAT